ACATTCGTCACTACGGTAGTCAAAGGTTAAAGCATATGTTTATGCTAGGATGCAATTGCAAACAACATCCCAGTTGTTCACATTGTTATGGTTTTGTAACTTGGTTAATATCCTGCGTCGGTATGTACGCAATACGTGGACGGGAGTTGTATTCAAACGTTCAAATTTATAACCAACAACTATATTATGCTGATCTACATATTTAAATTATCCACAGCCACATCAAAATAACATATCGTAAACACCGGCCCCTATGCAATGTCATTAAAAATATATAATAAAATACTAGAATGTATCAAAGCACTAAAAGCCTAAAAAAAGTTCAAAAAGGAAGTTAACGAATATTTAACGAAAAGGTGTTATTACTTGTTGCAGGAGTTTTTTAGTGATTGAGTAGGAAATAGGAATAAATATTATAGTATGATCTCGTTAATATTTAAGTTAATTGTATATATTCATTAATTGCTAATTTTAATTAATAATACCATAATGTAAATGTAATATCAATAATATTAATGATTGCCAATACTTACAGTGCCCTGGCAGGGTTCTTGTTTTGAACTATTTTTTATAATTAATACCAAATGTATACAACAAGAATAGCAAAGAATTTGAATTGAACATTTATGTGAGAGACACTGTATATTTATATATGTGTATATTGTGTATAGTGTATAGAGCCGTGGTAGCTCAGATGGTTAGCGCTCGCTGTAAAATTTCACAATACGTGAGCAAACCGGGTTCGATCCCCGCCGGCACCAATGAAATTGTTAATTGCAATTTTAAGTGCTGATTTACCACGTGCTCGGCGGTGAAGGAAAACATCGTGAGGAAACCTGCATGTCTGAGAAATAAGAAAAAAAATATTTCGAAGACGTGCGAAATTCGCCAACACGCATTGGGGCAGCGCGGCGAACTATTCTACTACTAGTATTAAACTGTTAGTGTGTCTATTAGTCATATTGATTAAAAATAAAAAATATGAACGTCTTGACCAATTGAAATCATATTCATACAATATTTTGTCGAAACGATGGTTCACAACTACCCTAGAATCCGATAGGTGTCGCTCTTGTGTAATTTCTATGGTTCATATAACGTTGATGAAGTAGCAAAAAATAAATTCACAAAATCTGCGTCACTGTGGACGACTCATTTATAAATTTTAAATTTACCTTTTAAAATCTCAGAGTGAATTTGGAGTGAAACTATGAGTAAGAGCAGAGCAATGGCTGCCGGGCCATTTTAATTAAGTATATCTGTATCATATCTTCAATTATAAGTGACTTCAAAAAAGGGAGAGGTTTACAATTTGATGTACGTTTTTGTGTGTAAAAGTCTGTGAAAGGAGTCCATAGGAGACCATTCAAACTGGAGGTTCTGGCCTTACAGCCAAGTAAGACCATTTGTTCCATCACTGGCGATAAAAAATTAATCTGCATCTTCGTTCTCGCTTGCATCCTCTCTTTCCATTCTTTTTCCCCCTAACTATTCCTTTCGGCTCTAGCAGCATCTCCTATTCTCATCTCCCGTCTCCTCATAACATACCTCGCCAAACTTACCGATTCCCTTTAAATTGGTCAGTTTGGCGACATCGGTATCAGTCAAACAAATTTGACACACTGGATGTCCCACCTCCCACTGTTATCCCCCCCCTACGGCCCTGTTGCGGATGCCCACGCCCACGTTACGTTCTTCCACTCTGCCACCTCTCACCCGTTCCCGGGGATGCAAACATTGCATGAGCATCCGGGTCTAAAAATACCTCGTCTATGACAATATCTTAGGCGACATTAACGACGTCATCCACACCGCTGTCTTCATTTAAAATTTTAATAACCACCATTGGTTCATTGCAAAAAAAAATTACCTTTACTCCACGTCAATTTCATTAATAATAATAAAAAATAAAAATAAATAAATAAAACTTACGATTCATATGACTGGTACGGTGTAACGGAGACCTGTCATGGCCTTCCGGTGATGTGTCACAGAAACAATTCTCTTCCTAAAACATAGGTGCAATCAAAAATATCCACGAACACGAATTCACCAAAATATACAAAATTCAGTGTGTATTAATGCAAACATAACACAAAAAAATGTATCACCTCGAATCCGACTTCCGCTTCCACATCATCACCGGGCTGATCGCGACGTCCAGGTGGTGTAGGAGAGTAAGCCTCAGGTGACGACGGGCGCGGGTCGTCCACCTAAACATACAAAAAGCATATCTTACCTTATCTTATATTAGTCTATTCCGCACATCTTCCCCTTAAAACATGTAATAGTTTGCTTGTTTAACCATTAGAACCGAAATTACAAAAAACGCAATACAAGTGTAAATCAGACAAAGAAAGTGAGATTAGTGCCAATCATAACATACATAATACCAGTGTTAAACCAAGCATGAAAAACGTAATACTAGAGGTATTAGCGGCATATAAAAACATATTATTAAAGTTGACTGATATAATTAACATTATTATTATCGAGCAGGTCTAACAGATTACAGAGTCAGACAAATCAATACTTATCAATATATATGAAGGGGTCTCTAGAAATGAATGAATGACACATTTACTATTTTATTATTTATATTTGACAATTAATAATAATTGATGTCTTCATAAACCCATCTAAAAATATTTTAAAAGGAATATATATAATTAATAATTTTAACATTTTAAGTGTGGTCCTTCCCCGGTCGGGCCGACCCAGTCGTACTACAATTATACTACTAATATAGCTACAGCATGGCTTTACCACGTATAAAGTAAATAAGTAAGAAAAGTTTTAAGAAAGGTAAATGAACGACTACTTTGTTTGCTCTCGGGATCCATAGAAATGAATAAATGACACATTTACTATTTTATTATTTATATTGGACAATTATTAATAATTGACGTCTATATAAACACATCTAAAAATATTTTAAAATTATATAGTTTTAATATCTTAAGTGTGGGATTTCCCCGGTCGAGCCAACCCATTCGTACTACAACTATACTACTAATATAGCTGCAGCATGGCCATATAAAAACATATTGACTACATATTAATAGTATACATGACTGAGAAGAATTACATCTCATGAAACTTTACTAACGGCATACTATGCATACATTTATTCTGCATGGTCTTTTACTTTGGGGTAATAGTACAGATGCTGTTAAGCCTTTACAGCCCAAAAGAAATGTATTTGAGCTATGAATGGTTTGGCACCAGATTCATCGTGTAAACCGTATTTTAAAAAATTACACATTTTGACGCTGCCATGTATGTACATATTAATTTTAGTATGTTTTGTTAAAACTAATATACTTTTGTTCACAAAATTAGAGATACTGTACAGAGGAACTTGAGGCATACTGAAAGTCTAACTTATAGTGTAGTGCCAAGCACTAGCCTATATAGAAAAAATTGTTCAGCTATGTGTATAAAAATTTTCAATGCCCTGTCTACAGAGTTTCAATCACTCCCAAAAGTATGTTTTTGCAGGATTGTTAAACAATAGCTTGAGGAGCAATGCTTCTACTCTGTTGAAGAATATTTAAAATTATATTATATAATAATTAGGATTAGAAATCGATACTAAAATGAACTAAGTAATTACAATTATATTATTTTAATTAAATTAAATGTAATAAAATGATTATGATGAATTTTAATATATGTTATTTATTATATTAGTTGCAAAAATGCAATTTATGTATTAGATAAATATTTGTATGTCAACATTATGACAAAACATGCTGGTCTTAAATAATTTACCAACGTGTAATGTACCATGTTTTCTGCAATTAAATTATGATTATTATATATGTTGTTTAAGTTGATATAATTAATATTGTCATTATCGAACAGGCCTAACAGATCACAGGGTCAGACGAAACAATACTTATCAATATATATGATCGGGTCTCTAGAAATTAATGAATGACACATTTTCTATTTTATTATTTATATTTGACAACTATTAATAATTAATTTCTATATAATCCCATATAGAAATATTTTAAAAGTACAGTGGAAACTTGATTAACCGGACTAATTGTTGCCATTAGGGATTTGGATAATCGAAAATCCAGATAATCGAATGTATGAAGAAAAGCGGGTTTTGTGCATTTGTAGTACATACATACATAATGTTATGTGTTTATTAAAAGCAACAATATCAACGAAAATCAATGTTTTTTAAGAAATTATTAAGAGATACATTTTTCAATATACAATTTATGCGCTTATTTGTGTACATACATATTTGCCAGATATCGGTTGCCCAGTTGATCATTTTTGTAAAAACCAACAATACAAAGCGTCTTCTAAAAGTTTGTTTTTCGGTTTCTTCATCATTGTCCAATGTTTACTCCCGTCTTCACTATCTAATTTGCAAGTGTACAACAAAATTGAATCGACATTTTTCTTAATAGCACTTATACCTACACCATACTTATCAGCTAACTTAGGACCAGTTTCTCCTTTTTTTAATGAATCAATAATATTTATTTTGTCTTTAAACGATAACACCACTCTTAGGCTTTGAAATTTTTAAATATTTACACGTTGCCCATCAGAGTGGAGTAACAATTGCTAGCTAACTAAAACAATAACAAAAGTTTTGTTATTGTTGTTACGAAACGCAATCCCCCAGGGCGCGTTCGGGGTAATGCCAGTACCGACACCTTCATGCTTGCATAAATTCGATATGTAGTACATATGTTAAACACTTTGTAACTTGGCTCAATATGACTTAATTATTTAATTGGTCGCGGTTGATAGTCCGGATAATCGCGAATCCGTGTAACTAAGGGCTGGATAATCGAGTTTCTACTGTTATATATATAATTATTATGAAGTGTGGTCCTTCCCCGGACGAGCCAATCCATTCATACTACGACTATGCTATTAATTTAGCTGTAGCATAGCCCTACCACATATAAAACATTTTTCAATAATAATAATAACAAATTATAAAACACATAAATGTGGATACTGACCTCATCATCATCTGGCTCAAACTCACTGTCCTCCGACAGATCTTTATCATCATCAGCATAAAGCATGTGGATGAAGTCTGCGGGCGGATCATTGTTTGCTCTCCAATTTGACATCTGTAATATATTATAGAATAAATAAATAAAAACACCACACTGCATATCACATGGGTATTTGTATCATAATACATGCTAACAAATTATATCTCTTCTTTTGTAATATAAATAATGATTATAAAATGGATCATTTATGTAAATATATAATAAAAAAAATTATCAACAGATCTGTAGAATTTCATTCCGGTACCCCATCATATGACACTGATCCTTGACCATGAACACATTACACGAAAGTAATAATATATAATAATAACTTTCACACTAAACAATGTCATATCATCATTATCATTACAGCCCTTCACAAGTCCACTGCTGAACATAGGCTTTGCTCAAGTAATGCCACAAAAGACGGTTCTGACCCACCTGCATCCATCGACTTCCTGCATATCTTACCAGGTCGTCACTCCATCTAGTGTCGCCCTACACTACGCCAACAAAATACCACCTCTTTATCGATATAAACTATTGACATATCCGCTTGCTATTACAATCACTGCCGAATAATAGATTGAACGCCATAGTTACATAAAATAAAGCTCAAAATGGCTTGCTGATTGTCGACTGCAGACTGCAATTTTATACGTTCAGTACATGGAATTTTTCATACTTTTATTTTCAATAAAAATCCTTGAAAACTTCTATATAATACTTGTTTCTGTTTATTTATTATGTTATATTACTTGTTTTAGTGGTTTTACTTCATTACAAAAATAATTTATTATTTTGATAACAAAAAAACGTTAAAAACCACGCGTATGTCGGCAGCGAGAAAATCACTATTATTTCTATATATTACTCGAAATTTTTTACTTAAAAAAGATAAATTATACTCACACAAAACTTTTGTAACAATTTTAAAATAAAACACTGTATTTACCTTAGAAAAATCCAAAAAACAAAGCGGCACTGTACAATACCAACCACACTCAAATGGCGCAATTTGAAAGACGAACGAATACAATTACAAATGTCAAATCATAGAGTAACAAACTTTTTATTAAACTAGAGGATAGAAAATTTCATATGGAGCCCATAATGCTAAACTTCTTTATAGAAAAGTAGTCTCTAGATATATTTAGTGTTCTGGGTGTGTATGGTCGGATCCGACCACTTTGAATTTGACAATTTGACGGAATATCGCCGTGGTCGGATCCGATCGCGTGCATATTGAAAGGTTAGACCCGGTAGGTGGCACTGTTGTCGAGCTTCAGAAATCACACAGTCAGGGCGGACCGTTAGTAAATGTATATTATAGATTACTCATTGCTTAAATTTTATTTAATAATGTTTATTGCTTTTTAAATAAGCCGCAAGCCGCTTCGGTCCTTTTTACTACCTTGACTAAATATAACACAAACGGTACACAATTTCAGGATTCATTTTAAGAAAGTGAATTTCTCTACAACATGTCTTCATTCGCATTTACCATTCAATTTCGAACCAATAAATTTGAATTCAATCGGAGTTCTGCAACTGGATTGCTTAAGTAGTAATGCGCTCTTACCTTTATCGCTTTCAGTTCAAATATTTTAACTTATAGTAAAAACTTTTACTTTTGAACTTGTAGTGTCAGTATTAGAATATTCACTAGCCCAAATTATCCCGTGGATATCGTAAGAGGCAACAGAGGAAAATTAGTATTAAGTAACGACTGAAATAATAAACTGTGGTTGCCATCCCGCTTACCAAGCATGTGGCAACTATGGCAATCTATGCGTTCTCAGATAGTGTTCAGCAGATAGGCTGTAGTAAAAAGCTTTAAGGTGAAGTGGGTGCCAAAAGCAGATTTTTTCACGCTTTATAAGGAGTGTTTGGTCAGCCCGGGCACTATTTAATCGCACAATATTTAATTGATATTTCGTTTTTAAATGATACGAGGGCGGCACTGAAAATTTCGGGAATCAAGGAAGTGACACAACATTACTATTTAAAAATGTATTTATTGCTTTTCGAAGTATTCTCAGCGAAATTTGACACATTTTTCCATACGATGGAACCAATCATTGAAGCAACCATTCCATTCGGAAGTTGCGGTCTCCAAAATGGCCGTTTTGTAGGCGTCCACAGCTTCTTCAGGTGATGAAAATCTCTGTCCACGCAATTTATTCTTTATTTTAGGGAAAGTGTAGAAATCATTAGGGCTTAGGTCGGGGCTCTACGGCGGATGGTCTAATAATTCTATATTTTCTTGCTCTAAAAACTCTTTTTGTTCTATCTGCGGTGTGAGAACTCGCATTGTCGTGATGGAGAATGATGCGGCGGTTGCAGTTCTCTTTACGGAGTTCAGAAACGAACTGTGGCAAACAAATGCTAGCATACCATTCTGCATTTAACCGTTCTTTGTCCCTCAAGAGGAATGGCAGTAACATGGCCGGTTTTGGAGACAAACGTGGCCACCATTTTTTTTGCAACACTCCGTGAACGAACAATTTTTGTTGGCTTTAACTTATTTTCGAACACCCAAACTCGTGACTGGTTTTTTGTTTCGGGTTCGTACGCATATATCCAGGACTCGTCACCTGATACGATGTTGTATTCAGCATTTCAGGATCCTGCGTGGAATCTTTCGAGAGTTCTGACGCACCAAGTAACGCTAGCCGCTTTTTGCTTTTCACAGAGCGAATGCGGTATCCATCGGGAAAACAACTTTTTTACACCTAATTGTTCATGCAAGATTATTTGTATTTGACTCATGCCAATGTCTAAAGTTGCCTGAATTTCGCGGTATGTCACATGTCGATCTTCCTCAATCAGCTTACGCACAGCATCAACGTTTTCTTGGATGACTGCAGTTTTCGGACCACCTTGACGGGGATCATCACTGAGCTTGACACGTCCACGTTGAAATTCAGCAAACCAGCGATTAATTGTGGTTTTGGATGGGGCTTCATCACGAAATGCAGAAATCATCAGGTCAACACACTGTTTTTGTGTTAAACCACTTCGAAAGTCATAATAAATCATTGCTCTTGAATTTTCTCGAGTCAATTCCATTTTCTCAACGACTAAACAAGTTTGACAAAACCTTGTGACAAGACCGAGAATCTTTTTTTAAATAAATAAATGGTATTCGATTTTTAAAACCAAGGAGTTTTCAATTAAAAAGATTTTAACATGACAGGAACAGTAGAAATATTCCATTCCCGATACTTTTAGTGCAGCCTATATATATACTTTTTCATTGAAAAATAATTCATTCACATATTTACTGGTGAACAAATAGCCTGAATTCAATTGAAATTGATTTCATTCGAAGGAAAGGAGATGGACATGGTTCTATACAAGCTTGGTCCCCGCGTGAACAAAGTTTAAATATGTCTAATTTCGAAGATTTAAACATTTTCTAAATATGTGTGCCAAAAAAATCATATTTTTGCAGGGCCTGGGGTTTCGCTTTTATTTTGTATTTTATTATTTGTAGGTTATGTTGTGTAATCTTTCATTTTTGTCAAAAGTTGCTTAAATATTTTGAAAAGGACACAAAAAATGCAGTTTTGTAGTAATCATTGAATAAAGTAAAATAAAACTCAAACTTTTTTTTATTAATTAGGAAATACCGTTATTATCTAAGAAAGCCACCGATGGCGGGTTGTGTTAAATCCACAATTAATGCATCGGGAATCCATATTCGCTAGATAAAATATAGAGTCCGTAACACAAAATCCAGGTAATCACAATGCAATTCGAAATCCGAGAGAAAAGCTAAGGGTCAAGTTAAATAAATCCAACAATTAAAATCACTAAATCTATCAGAAACCGCAAACATACCTACAATGCCAAATGCGCATTGACAAGTTGAAAGTTGAAACTCGCATCTCACCGTAGACACCGTTCTTTCGCATTCGCATTCGCACTCGAAAAATATAGATTTATGCATATTTCTTGCATAGAAATGAGACAGAGCGGTGTGATTTCTTGTCCCGTTCTCCGTGCCGGTTTTTTTGTTTAGCAAACTACACTTTGCTAAACAAATTTGACAGTTCGTAATGATCTAAGTAGTTTACAAGTTGGTTTCAGTGAGAAAAAAGTGTTTTGTGAGCTTAAGATTGGTGAATCTTGTTCAGTTCTGTTCTTAGAACAATTAAAACACTTTAAAATGGTTAGAGGTAGTGTCTTAGGATGTAAAAATGATAATGAATGTAAACTCACCGGTATATCATTTCACTCGTTAGTTTAGTACATTTTATCTGGTATTACGTATAAAATTCAATTTTTTATTTTAAATTTTGTTACAGAACTATATAAATATATGTTTAAATTTTATCTAAGTATGTTTAAAAATCATAAAGATTATTGTATAACCTAAAACTATGTTATCGTCCTTTCTCACTCGAGACCACGCTAATTATTAGTCTATAGGTTTCTCTGTCTACGGTGAGACGCGTAGTACAGTAGACTTATGATTAGCGTCGCCTCGAGTGAGAAAGGACGATAATGTAGTTTTAGGTTATACAATAATCTTTATGACTTTTAAACATATTTAGATAAAATTTTTAATTGTTCTAAGAACTGAACTGAACAAGATTCAACAATCTTATTCTCATATATAGTCTCATTTCTATGCGAGATGTATGCATAAATTTATCTTTTTCGTGTGCGAATGCGAAAGAAGGCGTCTATTTGTCTATAGGTTTAGTTTTGTTTAGGATTAAAATCGTATCCTTCGAAACGGGCAATGATTATTGATGATAAACATTTTAAAGTATGTCAAATATTATTCAAATGTTTTTTGAGCTTAATAAACTAGCCCATTCAGTAGTTTTTCTAAATAGATTTCTTTTTATTCAGCAATAATCTCTACAAATACACATTAATATTTTAATATTATGAGTTTTCAGTTGCGATTCTACTACCGGTCAGTGCAGTCGCTTCCTAACGATGTGTTGACTCTAATGTTGCACCTACAATATTTTCGTGGCGTAAGCATACTACTAAACGAAAATAATTCGAAATGGCGTATCAACCTAAACGCTTCTCAACCATTGAAGACCACGAGT